CATGGGAACTTCAAAAGCCACATTCAAATATTTATGGCCAGTTTGCAAGTCTACGCGACACGCTCTTTCCAATGAGACGTGAATGGTCAAAATTGGTTAAGAAATGGCGGAGTTCAACAGACAAATTTCGTGTTGGCGTACAGTATTGAAGATATAATAGATTATGTATCCACTGTGGTATATCAGACTGAAACTGTAGCGCACGAAGGAAACATACAGTGTCGTGGTTGAATCCGGTGCCGGGGTCTATTTTTGGTTGTCAACTTTTGGCTCGAATTGAACATTGCTTAAAATAAGAACAAATAGCCTAGTGTTCTCGAGTCAGTGGCCGAGAAGGCTACGTTCGTCCACTCAGTTGGAAATCTTGATTTTTTTCAAGTAATGCCTCAACATTTTCCATTTAACCTAACTCCAAATCAGAAAACTGAAAGATTACTGAAATACTGAACTTTCCTGTTTTAATTTGTAATTTATATGTGCAGGGGGCTTGACTAAGTGACTACATTATGATAATGAAAAACAGAATATACTGTAGCACTATTTTACAGCCTGGCGGAAGGTCTTGTGTCTGTGTCATTTATTAATAAATGAATTACTACTTCGGTTTTCCGATAGAGTTCTGTAGGATTTTCATTATTTAAATTTCCATATATTCTTGCGTTTTGTATGTTCCGTCACGTGAGATGGTATGTTTTGGTAAAATAAATACAAAACGGGTAAGCTACATTTGGCATTTTTTAATTTTCCGGCACGGCGTCTCAGCTTACGAATAAAACACAAACAACCAATTTTATTTAGTGTAATGAGAACTTCTCTTACAGAAAAAGAAATGTGAAAAAATCTCGCTGACGGTTTGCAAAATACCTCGCTTATAGCTTGATGTTTGGGTTCGTATGGGGGGGGGGATTCTAGAGTTTTACATTTTCACATTCAATAATTGTAATCAATCTGAGTCAAATATACATACAAAATATCAAACAGATCAAATAACAAAAATGATACCAGCATGCCGTGTATAATCCTTCATTATGAAGAACATTCATTACTTATTTTCTCAACAATTGATTTTACCTACATCAGCACAAATATTTGCATCAAACATAACATCTCGCTCCTTACACAACATTTAAAATTCGTTTAATCTGTAAATTAGTTTTGGAATTTAACCGCAACGAAAGCCACATATAGGCTAGAGCGACAAACGTCGATGAGCAAACGCAGTAATAAATGTTAACCGATTACAACAAGCGATCTGATGACGTCATTGCTATTTCAAGAAAGCCTCGCTATTTTTGAGATCTGCCACTCACAATCTGTCGTCTGCATCTGGACTTGACAGCGATGTCTTGACAAGTAGCCGAGCCGCACGTTCAGTCGACGCCTGCACTAACGATAAACTCTAGTTCATTTATTTTATTTTCACCAATTTGTATTTTAGTATAGGAAATCATACATTAAAGGGGATATTACACTGAAGGCGTGGAGTCTGAGGCAAAATCCAATATTATAATCTCATATAAATATATGAAGACCATGTGATAAATTCACTAAATTCACCAATAGCAAAGATTACATGTAATCTTTGCCAATAGTAAATTCGCCAAATTGACATTTACTGGATTACTATTGTTATTTTTATGTCAGGACTGTTTGTTATCTTAGTGTAATTTTGATTAGGTTTCTTTTAAAGAATGACTCACATACTACACAAGGCCTATATAAGGCTATATTGGATTATAGCAGAAGTGCTATTCAAGGTAAAAATAATGGTTACCAAACGGATAAGCTGAGTAATACGTGTAATGAACCTATAACCTATATTATAGAACTGTTTTTAATGTCTATTGGAAGAAATGTTTTAAAACCTAAAAGTGTTAAGTGGTTATTGGAAGATTTGGTATATAATCTAGACCCTAGACCTGATTAGTGACAAGTGGAAGAAGAGTTATTTAGGATAGAAGTGTTCAGAAGCTAATGAAATAAGTGCTATATAACCTAGTCCTATTTAATAGCAATTGGAAGAAATGTTATTAAGTGGATAGTGGAAGGAAGAAGTGTTTTATAACCCAGAAGTATCAAGTGGTTAGTGCGAGAAGTGTTATGTTATTTATATAACCTCAAAGTTAAGTGGCTAGAGGGTGAAGTGTTATAACGTGGAAGTGTTTAGTGGCTAGTGGGAGAATTATCATGCAACCTAAAACTGTTAAGGAGCTAAAGAGAGGATTGGTTTAAAAGTGTGAGCAGGCTTTTCTAAGCATACAAGATTTTTCCTGGGGTGGGGTGGTGGCGTAGTCCTGTAATCCAACTACTGGCAGGTCACGAATTGTGGATATTTATCGTATTTTATCGCATGCACTGTGGATGCGATACTTCCTGGTGTATATTAACGTCCGCACTAGTGGATACTATAGTTCGGCCGCTTAGAAAACGACCTGCACGCTAATGCTAAACCAATGTTGGAGGAGGTCGCTTTCTAAGCGGCCGAACTATACGACTATCCGCAGTACTGTCCTGATGATTAGGTTAATTCTTTAATACCTAGGCAAAACTGAGGTTCGGATTCCACTATTAACGGTAGGTCCCTTAGTTGCCATTAGCTGTATGGGCTATTAATTAACAGATCTGTGTCTAAGGAATACGTCGGCCTTAACAAGACTACAAGATCGCGCCACTCATCCTACACTCATCTCCATTCATACTTGGCTTAAAATACCTACTTTTATGGTCGCCATTTCAATGAAAAGTATTAACTACATTATGCAAATTTCAATGGATTAGTGGTGCTGAAACGATATAATATACCTGGTCATAGGTAGACATCACCGAGTTGGTTAAACGTAAATGGTTTGTAACAATAATTGAACCAGAGGGGTCGCCGGAATTCTACCCCCGGATATTTACCCCCATGAAAAAACGCCTACGTCATTTTGACGTCACGAGGGGCGGGGCCTATACACGGTCGAGAAACAGCCCGCGACTGGAAATCTACCCCCGGACATCCACCCCCGGACATCTACCCCCAGACATCTACCCCCGGACATCTTCCCCCGGACATCTACCCCCGGACATCTACCCCCAGACATCTACCCTCGGACATCTACCCCCATGGTCAGCTACGCTACGTATCGGCCAAGATGCATTGTTGTAATTGATTTCATTAATTGGTTTATGTAAGTCAACGGCTCTTCGGTTATTCATTAACTTATTATGCATATTATTTTTTTTTCTTGTAAAACGAAAACTCAAAAAATACTTTATTCTTCTTGGGCAATAATATACCCCAAGTCGTTGCCAACACAACAGTCAACGCGACATGTGTGTCACCAAAACGATGATATCATCAAAAATATTTTAAAGTAAATAATAAGAAAGCATATTCATAATAGCATATTTAGAAAAAAAACATATTGATTTCAGAATACCTAGTTTTTTTTTAACTGCATAATCTTGTAGTTGTTTTAATTCCAATAACATAAGATAAATGTTATTTGTTATAACCTTATTTAGCTACGTAAATCAAATATGACATGACAACGACATATCACATGCTGTGTACTGGATATTAGAAGCTAATGAATAACCGAAGAGCCGTTTTTTTACATAAACCAATTAATAAAATCAATTACAACAATTCATCTTGGCCGATACGTGGCGTAGCTGACCACGGGGGTAGATTTCCGGGGGTAGATGTCCGGGGGTAGATGTCTTGGGGTAGATGTCCGGGGGTAGATGTCCGGGGGTAGATTTCCAGTCGCGGGCTGTTTCTCGATCGTGTATAGGCCCCGCCCCTCGTGACGTCAAAATGACGTAGGCGTTTTTTCATGGGGGTAAATATCCGGGGGTAGAAATCCGCTACCCCAACCAGAGGAGTAAATTGAAAGTGGTGCAATCTGAATGTTGGCTCATCCAACTCAGACCGCCTCCATTGCAACAATTAATTCTAACGCATTGTGCATCTTCACTCGACTCGCTGCCAAAATCGTGTTCTTAATCAGCTGATTTCAGACCAAGTGATTGTTCAGGTTAATTGTTGATCCGGATGCCAACAGATATTTTGAACAACAGCTTTCGAAAGGTCAAGCTAATTTCCTAATACAAATTCGAAATAAAACTGAGAAGTTGGTGGTAAATTAAGTAATGCACTGATAAAATTATACCATACTAGGCAAACAACATAAAACACTCAGAATTATTGATTGTGAGGCTGTGATTCATGATTAAAGGCACATATGTCACGAATGCAGCAGAACTAAACTTGTTCTCTGAAATGTTGAACTAGTTTTAACGATAACTGGTTATTTGTTTTTGTTTAGTGTATTAGTGAAAAAGTATAGTTATCGTAAACTATTTACTCTCTCGTTAAAATTGGTAAAAATTACTCACAACTTGAAGGGTTAATTAAGCAAATGATCCATGTTGACAAGTTCATGCGTAAATCCCTTGGAACACACTATTTATATGATTCAGATAGGAAGCAAACATCTCTCTATTTCAACGCATCTTTGATTATTATTGTTGCAGTACTATATATAGAGGTCGTCTGGAGCAACTTCCGCGTTGAAGCAACATAAACAAACAATGATCCTCCTCGTCTTTCAGAGTTAGGAATTTCTTAACATTTGCCACCCAAGTAGTTCTTAATACTAGAAGAGGACAAGAGTTATGTTTGCACTCGTATTTTTAAACGACAAAGTTGATTGTAATGTGTTTTTATTAAATTCGCAAGTTTTTGTTAAACGTAGTAAACATGTTTTATAATGCCATATGGCTTTACGGATGATTTGACGGAGGAAGATGAAAATGAAATTTTGCTCATGGACCATTGATTGCATTCCGCTATGCAAAAAATCGTTGACAAAAAAGTGCCCAATAAACTATTGCTAGATACATCAATTTGAGTTTTTACAGTGAGCAAACGTATTTCAAAACTCGTGTTGCCCAGCATCAGCGCAAAACTATGGTTCTGGCGTCCCGCAAAGTTTAATGGCGGTACTCAAAATGGAGGCACTGTGTACCTACAATGAATATACTTGTAATACGATAAAATATGTAAGGTTGGATTAAAATCGACTTTTAAAGAAAGCTAGGACAGTTTAACGCATTTATGTACATTTTATACAGTTCCCATTGGGCGAATCTCACTTCTCATTGAAAGAATAAACTGATCTTTTCTAATGGAATTAGTTCTAGCCTTATTGGTACTTTTAAGCTATGATACTAACACAATACACTCAACCCGAATATGACTTTGGAAGATAAGTCACTATTCTTCATCCGTACTTTGTAGTAGTTCGTCTAAACTAGGCCCGCTCATTCTGGAATATCCACTCTGAGATGTGCCGGGGTTCTCCATGCTTTGGAACATCTCTTGGCGTCTCATGATCGCCCATGTTACTCCTAGGATAACTATAGCTGCTGACAAGGTACATGTGTAAGCCGTCAGCAACATAAAGTGGTACTTTCTCTCTCTCAAGGTTTCTTCCGGAGTGACAACAGTAATGTTAAAATCTTTAACCGGCTTGTTGTCAATATAGCAAGTATACACTCCTGTCTCCTCGTCCCCTACGTAGCAAAGCTGCAGGACATTCATTCGATCCACAAAGGCATGTTTGAGTTCATAATCCGTTTTCTTTTGAAATATTTTAAACTTTCTTTCAACTCGTTTCTCAGGCACACCAACAGGTTTGATTATTGTTCCACTTTTACGCCAGATTACTTTAGTTCGCAAGTCAGTGTCCGGGCATATGAATGACATCGATGATCGTTCGTCCATTAGAAAGTCGAGTCTGTATTTGGCTTCGTGTAGCATACGGTTTTGTCGGATACAAGCATCTTGACACTTTTGCACTCTCATATAATTGGGTAAAGAACTCGTGATTGAGTACAAACCAGGAAACCACCTAGCTAGATATAAGGAATGACAAGAAAGAATATTCAAGCTTACCAAACGTTTTTCATTCGGATTCATTTCACCTTCCTTATTAGAATATTTAGCAATGTTTACACCAGAACGAATTCTACACTTTGCGTATCTCTTACGAATTCCCAAACAGCCATCGCAGGGTAGCCAAGGATCCCACTCGCTGACGATCTTCACCACTACTCTGTCGAGGTCCTTCGCCAAACTCAAATTGCTTGCCAACTTCTCATTCGTGGGCGTGATGATTTTCTCCTTGAAGTCACCAAAGTCGCGTTCATCGTCAACCTCTCTTCTCTTCTCATGGATGGCCACCTCTGTTTGAACAACATCTAGGCTAAAGTGGAACTGGGAAAACTCTTCTACTGGACTTCGACAGTAGTATAGCCCGGTGTCATTCATGTTCACACGTTGTATGGTCAGGGAATTATCAGGCAAAGTGAAAATTCTGTTTTCAGTTAGATTAGCCTCCAATCCCATCTTCACTTCGGTTTCTTCAGCTCCAAAATCACGAGTTTTCCACGTCCATATCATAGGCAGATCTTCGCCTTTTTCCCCGCAGTAGTTGCAGGGCAAAGTCACGTTTCCGTTTTCAGGAGTTTCTACCACTCTGAAGTAAGCGTTGTTTTCTAGCGGTTGATATCCTGTCTTCTCCAGACAAATTTTGTTTGCGATCTCCGAGAGAGTTTCTTCTTTTTTCACCGTGGTAGTTTCTGACGACGAGCTCAGTTGAAGAGTCAAGATTATTTGTGACAGGAATACACGTTTAACGAGCCTGAACATGTTAACTTGTTCATTGTATGTTTACACTTTTATGCATAAGTGTTTTTGTTGTTGAAACCTGTTTTATTTTTTTACCAGCTGATAGTATTAAGAGTGTCGTTGTTTAACATTAATTGTATTTGATATTTTTTTCAGCCATTGAATACCATAACACTAACCGAAAGCATGAATAAAAATATGTTTGTATTAATTGGTTTTTATATAGTCCAAAAATAATAAAATTTGCTTGAAAATAGTGGTTTTACATTTTTGGGTGACCATATAAAACGTGTGTGTATCCTTTGACCCTCAGTAATTCCAATTACATTCCTTCATTGAATTCTAAGCCTAAATTCAACCAGGTTATTTATTTAACCTAATTTTATATAAGTATCGGTAGTAAATTAGTGAGGGGCCTAATTTTTTATTACTGCCCTCATTCGGCCATAAGCTTAGGTTTTAAAGTGACATACAAGTAACTATTAAAATTAGCTCTAATTAAGAATCTGTAGCAAAAACAGAGAAACCTAAATGCGTATAGCATTCTTAACTTATGTTTAAGTATTTTTAAGTAATCAAACTGAATCTATTTAAGAATCTGTAGCAAAATAATGAGACCTAATTGTGTATTTGAGGATTGTGGTGGGCGTTCCTAGATCATTCTCTGGCTTCAATCCAAAGTCTTACTGTACCTCACAGCATGCTGTGCTTTATGCGGGTGAGGTTCATAATGTCCAAATTTCACAAACTCCAACGATAATATATTAAATAAACAGTGCGTTTCATAACCTCCAAATTTCATAAACTCCAAAACTATAATTTTCAAATAATCACCGATTCACAATGTCCAAACTTCACAAACTCCAACTTTTAAATATCAAATAAACAGAGCGGTTCATAACCTCCAAGTTTCATAAGCTCCAACGGTACAGTCTCTGCCGTAAGTCAATCGAATTGGCGGGATACCGAGGCGGACGGGCCGAATGAACCTCTCTGTTTTACACAAACATACATTCACTAAACCTGCTCTGCTACACTTATTTCTTAACATACAAATTTCAAATTGATATATTATTTTTCTGGAAAAACCAGTGCTCATTACTATGTAGCTAGTTTTTACCTTAACATAATTTTTATAATTTATTTAGGCAAATTAAAACAGATGATTGTTTTTTAACACCATAAAAAACATGAAAAATGTAGTAAGCGAGGAACTTTTTTATTTTTTGGTCAGGAAAAAAATTCCTGCGGCAAAGTTTTAGATCAAAGTATGAATTTTATTTTTTATTCGAAGCTTTTTTTGATACGGAGCCTGCTTGTATCATTTTTAAGCGATTAAAAATAGGCATAAAATCGCTTGGCGCGGCATTGGCGCTAGGAGTTTGGCCGGCTCAGCATCAGTTTACGGGATATAAAAACTGAGTTTCTAGCATTTAATTATCATTATACTATACTGTATTACATCAAATATGTCATTACATTACGAAGAATGGTAACTTAATTTACAGGCGTATGTTTGTGCATTTTAATGCTTACCGGTAGTCTATAGTTAACAAAATTCTTTGATATAAATGCTTCCCCGATTGTAATTTCGGAAATTGTCTTCGTGAAATACGAAAAGGCATATAAAGATGTGGAGATAATTTAAGTTCTTGGTAAAACCCACTGAATTAGCGACCTGGCCCAGTTATTATTTCTACTTTTATTCTCCTTTCGTTAAGGTAAACTAAATTAGTGTAAATGCATCCCTTTGACTAAACTTTACCCTAGATTTGGTTCTGGTCAAAATAATATAAACAAAAATAGAAACTACTCTTATTCTAAGTTTATGTGGTGGAATTCCTGCTAAAAGTGCGATTGACTTTACATTCTATCGAAATAGGCCTATTTAAAACGTTCACCCCCGCATTTTAAGACACCGGGCAATCCCTGACAGTCGTCGGTTTAAATTTAGAAAATGCATGCTTTCACACGGACAGCTGTACACATATATATACAAATATAACAATTTTAACGAATTGTGTTTTTGGCCTTTGGGGACATCAAAATCAAAAAGTAAATCGGTCCCGGACCTAGGTCTTACCATGCCACCGATGGTAATAGCTACTGTACTTTCTTATAGGGAAATTTGCTAAATAGAATCTAAAAACTTTACAAGGTACCTATCTAATAACTTGTTGAATTATTTACATTGAACACTATTTTTAAATAGAATATGCAATAATCGTTACAACAACAACAACAACTTCATACCTTAATATTTTATACGACAGTCAAAGACTCCACTGTTTGTGATTACGCATTTTTATTGGTAAATAAGAGGTATACAATGCTTAGCTCTCCACTGAAAAGGCAATCCAAATATAAATTATCACCTTGTCAAAACTTGAACATTATTGAACTAGCCACATTAAGTTGCAAAGAGAAACGAGACTGCTGTGAGTAAAAAAGTGTAAATACTCGAGTATGAGCTTTTATTGAAACGTGACCTACAATATGATGTATAAGTTAAATCCTACTTATAAAAATGTATTTCTGCGTTTATGTATGTTAGTTTCTACCTTTTTATGTAGTTTAAACTCATCCTTTTAGTGGGTAGAATGAATAAAGTACAAGGTTTTCGGCACTTTTCTAACAAAGGGCTATTTTTACACATAACAAAAAAACAACTGATGTAATCATCATGAAATTTTAACAGCTATTAGAAAATATACTTATAAAACATATTTATATGTTTTAAAATTTTTCATCGGTGAAAAATCTCTTACGATATTTGTAATGTAATAATTGGCTTTTTAATTGAGAGACGGAACAGTTAAGAAACTCAGCTGAAAGCTTGAATTAAAGGTATTAAAAATGTAAAAATGTAAATTTGATTTGCACATTGTGTGCTAACACGTATTTGAGTCACACAGCTGAGTGTTCTTCAATCATAAAATGCACGTATTATCAGTAGTTGAGCGCTGGCGAACGGTGCCTGCTATCTGACTGTGGCAACCACTGTAGAGACTTCTGGCTCAGACTGTACCGTTGGAGGTTATGAAATTTGGACATTATGAACCGCACTGTTTATTTGGTATCTTAACGTTGGAGTTTGTGAAATTTGGACATTGTGAAACAGTGATTATTTGAATGTTATAGATTTGGAGCTTATGAAAATTGGAGGTTATGAACCACTCTGTTTATTTAATATTTTAAGCGTTGGAGTTTGTGAAATTTGGAGTTTATGAAACGCTCCCCTCTTTGCGTGTATAACTTAACTGTTTTCAAACTTATCATTTGCATTTCAAAACAAAATTAACATCCTGAAATAATACTTGCTTTCAACATTCCTCTTAATCTGTTCGTAAATTAGAGTAATTAATTTCATAGTGTTTATGCGTAATATTAATTGAGATTATAGAAATATTTGAGAATTAAAAATGGTTTCTTCTTCTTTCTATTACTTATGTACCTTTTATACATTTTAGTACTTTAAAAAATACTTATCGAGTAAGAGGATTAGTTTCAGTGTGAAGCTATATCATACGTGGTAGTAAGTTGTAAAGTTTTACTTTACAAACCTTTTCTACTTGGGCTATCAATTAATGGTACTATCTAACATAACCTTATAGTAGCAAGACCAGGATTTTGACCATTCCCCAATAGGGCGGTTACAAAAATAAAAAATAAATAGTCTATGGTAAGCTAAGATAACTATCTTAATCTTAGCTTAGGGTATTGTTTTCGAACCCAAAGATAAAAGGTTATTAAAAATTATAATCACATCCCTTGTTGGTAGGTCATAGAAAATAAAGAGCTCAGTTTATGCGGAGTTTAACGCAAATAGGCCTACATCACTTTCAGGGATAACAAAAGTATCATGGTATATTAAATCTGCTTTTAGCGGATTTCCCTGTAGGAAAGTAGCTATTAGCATTTAGGCTACTTTAATTTATGGTACAAAGGCGATGATACTATTATCATAGCCATTACAATAAGACCTAGGGTTAGAACTGTAATTTTAATTGTAATTTATTTTCGTTAATATTCTCATACATAAATTCTTACTAAAATAAGTTAATCGAGTTGAACAAATTCCTATTCAAACTTTCTAACTCGACTATTTAAAACAATTTCCGAACCAGCCAAATCCGAGCATAAAATGTAGGTTACGTGCTTAGTTTTGTTTTATTTTTTGACTAATTTAAAACATGCAATTAATCTGGTTTTACATGCATAATATGCCTATGTGCATATTATTTACCCAGTAAGGTTCCGTGACATTAAAGAGCTAAATATACGTTGTCTGTCTCCCGATATTCTAATAAAGAATCATATAATTGTTGTAAAATGGTTTCGCGGACATATATTTTAAAATCTTTTTATTGTTTTTTGGTTAGAACGTGTATTTAAAACATCTTTAGTGTTTCTTCTACCAGCAGTTCTAGGTACAGTACTGACAGGGCAAATATTCTGGATATGGATTTAATAGCGCAAATTTCCTTGCACCCCCAACTAAAACAAAACTCAACAAAGAAACCTGATATTTCTAAGGTCGACTGGAATGAGGTAACTTATTTATGCATCCGTAGTGATCCTCTAATCATCAAATTGCAACAAAAATACAAACTGAACCTTTTAGCTCGCAACACCTGTTGCCATGTTTATTACTAGAACTAACTCGAGCTGTATTCACGTCCCACGCAGTTGGATTCGAATGTAGAGAGCAAAATTACTATCAGTTTACTGACACTTGTGTCCATGTTGACCCATTTCCCCTCCCCCGAACACAAATAACGCCGCGCCAAAATATCGCAGCTTCCCGCCGTAATTACAGCCCAATACACTCTTTGATGTGTCGACCCCTAGTTATCCGTGGGAGGATTAATCATCTGGCTTCTTGCTTAAACCTGGTACTGGCAAGTTTGAGCATAGTTTTGTTAATGTAAAATCTTAAATGTTTAATGGTTATTGTTACACGTTCATGATTTCGATTTACATGATACTGAAAATTGGGTCGTGTGGGTTCTCTGACACGGTCAGATTTTAATTTCCACTACAAAATCATAATGAGCCAATAAAAATACCCTTAAAGACAAAAAGTCAATTTGAGTACCTACGTATTTTAAACTGAGTATGTATTTTTTGTATAATGGTGTATATGATCTTTACCTAACCCGCCATGTTAAACTTCCCTATCCCAAGCGTGGTAAAAACGCTCTTACTACACTTGTAAGGTAAATAGCTATTACAGATCCTTATCTAATTCCCAGGAGGCCATGGCAACACAGATCATTCATTATTGTTTGCCCCCTTGTCAGTACAAGGATTTACAGAAATAAACCAGTTGTCAGATGAAAATCATCTAAAACAATTTTAATGTACGAAGTTTATAGTACAATGATCCTGTTTTCTTGAGTGCAGGGCCGAGTGCCAGTTGCCTAAAAAAAACTTTGACGAGGTTCATTTAACATCCTGAGGCTTGACGAGTGCCAAGGTATCAGTGATCGGTGTGGCGGGTATGGGGATGAAAAGATCGATAGGGGAGGGGGCAGGATGAGCAAAACTTGATTGAGGGATGAAATAAAAGTATTATAACCTAACCTAGACCAACCAAACTTGCTGATTATAAAAATATTTAATGCAAGTTTACTAATCGAAACGATATTTTCAATCAATACTAGGGTAACCCAATTAATAAATTGCACCCGGGCTCTGATACATCTTACGCTCTGGGGAGTCAAACGGAACTCGGGATTACCAGACGGTTTTGACAGTTTATGACCCTCACGGCAAAAAATAGGACGGCACTCTCTCCGCTTCCCGTTTCCTTAGCCAGTCCAGTTTCAAGCACTGACCTAGGCCTAGGTACTATACAGATAGAACTGAATGAGAGAATTAAGAGGCGTTGTACCAGGGGATCAAGTACGTTGTACTCAAGCCTTGCGATGTACTAGTTACCTTTTACCTAGGAGATTCTGTGATTGAACATATGCAGCCATGAGCCAATGAGCTGATTCTCCTAGTTGATACCAACCTAACAAAATTACAGGGTCTCGATTTTCTAGCAGTTTCCGTCTCAGTGCTACGTCCAGCTGTATCTAGATCAGTGGTTTTTAAGTGAGTACAAGTAAATATTAAAAATGAAAGCAATAATTAACTACTTTAGGGAAGACTATAAGCAATAATTAACTTTCTAAAGACTATTTCACCAGATATATTCTGAAATAAAAAATTTAAGCTCTATTAATTCATCTATTAGAGCTGAACCACTTTTATATAAAACGATTGCCATGTAAACTGTCTAGTCCTGTGCATCGTTTTCTTGGAGCAATGGATGAGATCAATTATTTCGATAAGGAGTGTTCGGAGTACGCGGAGGCGGGGAAGGTCTATAAATAGACTAGACATCTTGTATGAAATCGACCACCACTCTCACTTTCACACTCTTTAACGGTTATAAAGTATCATTTGCTATATCACTTTATATTCGATCAATGTAACGAATACCAATCGTTACACAACTAGATTATATTGTACATGTGTCTGATTTTATTTCAAGTTATGCTTGAACTGACACAAAAGCTGATTCAGTATAAAAACGTAGATTACTAATCCATGTATTTGTATGTATAGGATACACGGGATGATTTCGACTACAGATTATATTCAAAAAGGTATTAATTGTTAGTATTCAGTGTACATTCTGCATTTAAACATATCCTCCATAAGGCCGCGGCGTTGGTGTGTGGAATAGTCGCACCGGCCAGCCTTTTGCCATACTGAAAACAGTAATAACTAAACAATAACATTGGACAGACTCTCCATTACGAGTGACATTTGTTTCGGTAGACGTTGTCACCTTTGTCTCGCCATAGCCTTGCATTAGATGGAGCCTATCCCATTTATCGTCAGGTAGATATGTTAACATAACATAAACTATTACACCGCACGGTTCTCATTGGGTCATTCAAAACCATATGGTAATTAGGCTCCTCCCTCAACCGCAAACTTACGTTGTCCCGACAATAATGACACATCCACAATTTTTTGACGGTTGAAAACTATTTGTGGCTTTCGGCTACTTTGTCGTTAGAATACGATTCCAGCTAAAGAATCAGCTGTTGTTGGTCAGTAAACAAGTTTTTCACAAAACTTATACATCTAATTTATTCGTCCCTAACACAACTACATGCCATGAAGTATAGTTGTCTGTAAAGTGCCACTAGAGCCCAGCTAGTTAAATACACATTCAACTGTACTGTAGAATAGCGGATCACAATGACGATTGAATAATATCAGTTTTACCTTGACATGGGATGAATCGTCGTTGTACACCTAGGGTTTTATTGAGTGAAGTTTGTTTATTGTTTTGTGTAGTTAAAATGTGTTACAGTTTTGATTACTTCCCTTGTTAGTTACGTTATGAGCTAAGTAAATGGTAAATATAACCAAGATTTAATAAATCACAGTTCCGTTTACATTTTTTAACCCGGAACGGTGAAAACAATATTAAAGTCTTGTAACTTGTACAGACTTGTTGATCAAGTCCTTGATTATCAACACTATCAGCATATATTGGTGTATTTTTCTTTATTTAAATATTAAAACTTAGATATTTGAACGAAGGAGACATAAATCCCTGTTTATTTGTTGGTTGAAACTGGGTTAGTGGTCCTTGATAATTTTATTTAGGTACATTTAATAAATGATCCAAATAATTAAATAAACAGCTGGTAACACAACAAAAAGCATCTCTCTCCATTCTACACTTACTCTTCACCATATTCAATTAAAATACGACCAGTGTAGTCACTATCTTAATTTGTCAAGAATTATAAGTAATGTAATGGTCACTACAGTTATGTTTATATTTTACTTTTAAAAGTTTAATGTAAACTAGCATTAGCAAGGGGTTTACAACGGGCTAGTTACCATACTCAGTCATCTAAGCTCAGTTCATTCAGACAATTTGAATGATCGGTCACGCGTGTATTTGAATTAACCAATTTAAATTTTCTCATCCTAAAATAATAAAATATGAAACCCAAAACTGTTGAATCCCGCTAGTAAAATTACCGGAAATTCAACCATTACTCCTTTCTTCAGAATAGTCACTGCACTCCACACACAAACATCCTAAATTCTCTAAATTTAAACTATACCAAGAAGCAAAACTAGTTCACACAACACTAAAACACGAAAGTTAACTATTTGACTCTCACCTTCGAGTCAAAAACGAGTTGACGAATCGCGAACTGGTGGCAAACTGAGGTTCACAAGAAGAAGGTCTAAAGTTAGCCTGGCAGAAGTCCAGCGGCGGCTAGCCTACAGACCGGCTTACGGGTGATTTTGGAAATTCATAGATTCAAAGGGTGCAAATTTACTAGTATCTTTCGTATAACAGGGGAACATTGGTCATTAATCAGCTGATCTCAGTTAGTAGCAAAGCTGTCTTTCAGTTTATTTTTGGTACTTTCCTGTTAAAGGGAACGTTCATTATTATCGATGATTTTTTTTCGATATATCGATATTAACAAATTGAAACATATCAGCTGACAACTACGATAAATATTTTTCAGTATAAGAAACTGTTCTAAAAAAATAACCTAACAACTAACCAAACTTGCTGTAACATTTAAAAATTCTGTGTTTAACTTGCCTTTTCTATTATGAAACCCAAACGGAATTTTTAAATGGTACAGCAAGTTTGGTTGGTTATGTTAGGTTAGCTTAGAACAGTTTCATTTTTTAATCCATATATTAGACTATTTTAGCCTAAACAAGATCAGTTAGTTATTGTTGTAAATTTGTAATGGATCGGATCGGAAAACAAAAATATCGATATATCGAAACAAAATCATCGATAACAATGAATGTTCCCTTTAACAGGAAAGTACCTTATTTTTCACTCAGATTTGCCTTGGGTTTCATGGTGAGTCAGAGATGTAAAAGTCTATAGTATCCAATAGTTGCGCGGTGTATACAAAATTATGCGTATGGCTCCCAACCATAATCTCAAATATTTATATGTAGGTCCAAATGGTATGTGTTCATTCTTGAAATGATAAACGATAAAAAAACATCTGTGCCGTTACAAAACTAATTTTATAAATCTTATCCAGGTTAGCTGCTTAGTGCGGGTCAATATTTCATTTTCAGTAACACTCTTTAATGTATACTGCAAGTCATCGGGTTGAAGCACTCTTAGAAATGCTTCCAATACTTAAACTAAATTTAAGTGTCTTCCTTATACCAGAGATAACTAGCCACGATGGCTCTATCGTAGCCACTAGGCACGATGGCCACGACCTGGCTTAGGGAAACAAGTGATTAGCTGGTTATAAAATAATTTTAAGTGAAATTAACTACAGCTGTAACATGAGGCCGTATCTGCAGTGTTGTCACTTTTGTCCCACTGAGGCTTCGCATGGTTACATCCTATAGATTATAAAATAACTATATTGGTATAAAAACATAAAATAAGACATATAGCGTGATAAATTTGTTTTATTAGTTCACAACATTTCCAAACTAAACACCTAGATTTAAAAAGTCAAGAGTGTACTTAATTTCAAAATACTACTTGATAACAGACAAAATCCAGTTCATAGTGAACAAATCTGTAGTATATTTATTGAGCCTAGTGTATTGTTTAATCACACTTACAGAATGTTTGTTTTTAATCTATCCAAAGAATATACTGTTGAGAAATATTGAAACTTCAATTTCGCCGTTAGTTTGAGTGAAGGGGTGTTATCCAGAAGAACTATGCCAAATGGAATCCTCCCTTTTTGTTGTACATCATAAGTCAAATTCCGAAGAACTACTTCAGCATACCCCTTGTTTCGAAATTCGGGATCAACATACATAACATACATTCCACCGGAGTGGAAAGTGAGCGCAGAAGACACCAGCTTGTGGTCAGTCTTTCGAAACAAACCTGAATAACAAAACAATAAAATAAAATAAATTTCAAATTATAGAATTAAAACAACTTTATTTACATATTAAGAGATTAAATTCAGATTTGAGTCTCTATTGGACTTAATTAAAAGCTCAAAAATGAATATCAAAACAGTGTCACAGTGTGTTATTTGAAGTTTTTTGTGAAACCCATTTAAAAATTTTCTTGAGTACATTTCATAAACTGATCCAACATAGGTTAAAACATGTTTCTCTACAGAATGTTGATTAATTTTAATACTTCTAGTATTTCTATACAGTAATTTACACTTTCTATTGGACCGTTTGCATTCATCTATTCTTCTATACCTACATAAAAACTCATTAAACCAAAATTTACTTTCCGATTTTGCTTAAGCCTTTTTGCAATTTTAAGTCTATTTCTAGAGTGAATGTACTGTATTCATACCTGATTATTTCTATTTAATGTGAACTGTTCCATCAAACAATTTCCCACAAAAAATGCACATAAAGGGTTTTAAACAGGAATCTATATACTAAGCATGTTTTTTTTAAACCTTTTTTCTCGGTTCGTGTGCATCGCAGGGAAAATCTACGCATACTGTTGGAAAGATATTTTCCTGTAGATGTGCAGAATCTGTTCATAAATTAGAATAGGCTAAAAAATTAAGCACTGAATGAAATGAATTTAAGATTTTAATAAAATTAACATGGACCTTATGAGTTGCCATGGGGTTGACGAAATAACAACGCAATATAGAGAGAAAATAAAAACAAATGGAAAAACATTCCAATTACATGTTTTATTTACAGCGTGGGGTGAAAATGTGTAAGTCTGTACATTACATATTTTTGCTCAAGTTTTCGACCACTGGACGACCTCTAGTAACTATAAATAGGCCTTCACTATAAATAGCCCTTCAGGTAAGTAAAATTTGTGAGTATGTAAAATAAGTATTTGCATTTTCAAATCAAGTTTTTCCTTTTTTGAATTGTAAGTTATGATCATGTAAGCTTTAGTTTTTTTGGTCTTGAAGGTCTGATGTTCCTTTTGAGTGCCTCCTGAGAAACTAGAAAGAAACCAGTGGTAGGACCATGTCAAAGGGGGCTAACGGGGCGTCCTCCCCCATAAATTTTGCCAATGTTAAGTTGTTTTCGATTTTTTTAAAGCCATTTTTAGCACCTAGAAATGTGTCAAAAACCCTCCATCAAGTTTTTATGATGAAATGTATGTTTAAATTTATATTTCTACGGTCCTATGGGGGAGCCCCTAAGGCCCCTCTTGGAGCCTCCACTGAAAGTAACATGTATGTTTTCGAAGTAGTTTTACGTTTGTAGAGAGTTTGTTGGTTATCAAGTTACCCAGACAATAGTTGTTGAAGATTTGTTGACCAAGGTAGACTTCAGAACCAGGGAATCTATGAGGCCAGTTGTTGTTCACTTCAGCGGCATGGCTGAGATTGAGCCTTTGCAGGTACACATCTTCAGGTATTGTGCTAGAAATACATTCAAATGCAGTCAGCTAAGCTGTAGGTGAATATAAGTTTTGAAAAGTGTATAATAATAAAAACCCACTTGTAAATTTTCTGCAATAGTTTTCTTTTAAATCAATCAAAATTGAATAAAATCCTATGGTAACATTATAGAATAATATTATTAATATTCCTAGTATGCACATGATTATATGTGGTAAATATATGGTAAATATTATAAATGGGTTCACAAAAACATGGATAGATTGTTTGGTCACTTTGATGGTACAACGGCACAGTAGCGCAATCTCAAAACTCAACACCAAAATATCGGTCACCAAATACTTGGTTTAGTTAGTAGACTAGTAAAGTAACCATCCGCAAAAAATATTATACAAATATAATTATTTTTCAAGTGCCATTTTAATTTACATTCATTAACAAAAATTTCCAGGATGTTTTGGACTCCTAAACAACATGTTGTTCTAAAACATTTTTATACACAGAGAATACGTTTGTAAGGACCCAGCAGTGTGTAATGAAGATTTTATTTACTCCGCTAGGGCAACGGTAATCGTTCAGGTATGTTTAATTGTTCACTTAATAATTGGAGCGAGCCGGTCTAGTGGAATAGCGTGAGACTTCGGTCCCTGATGTCCCGGGTTCAAATCAAACCAAATCACCAATGGATTTTATCTAAGTGGTAATACCGCATCCCTGGTTATAGCCTAAATTAATGTGAAAAATGATTTCGGGCTAGAACCGAGCGTCCTAGAAAAAAGAACACATTTATTTGATAAATGCAATGGTTTTTGAACAGTTAATCAAGTCCATCATACCTTGGATCTATTGGATCTGGCACCCATAACATGCTCCATTTCTTGATGGTAAAGTCAACACCTTTAGTTTTGGCTACTTCAAAAATAACAGGAGCAAATCTTTCGTGCGTGATTTCAAATTGAAACATGTCAGAATCACTTGTCCAGGGGATTTGCTTAGTGTTCATGAAAGCGTACTTCATTTCTGACAGATCCTCACAAGCTGTGTATACATAGTACATTGAATACTTGACATTCTTTACCTGAAATATGATATTGCAAATCAATAACTATTTAAGTTATAACCTTAATACAAGAACCCTAATATCTTAAATTATACTCGACTTAATTATAGAATTTTGAAATAATTTTTTGTTGGATGAAACCATATTTCTCACAAGGAATTAATTTTGAATATAGTCATTTATTATTAGAACCTTGAATGTGTGCACATATAAAATTGTGAGTTTTCCGTCAATAAAAAAAACAGCAATAAATAACCTCATTTTTGTGTAGTCTCGAGTAAATCTATATTTATAAAAGAGGAAGTTTGTATATATATATATATATATATATATATATATATATATATATATATATATATATATATTTGAACGTTATGGACTCTGAAACCGCTCGACAGATTGTAATGAAACTTTCAGGCATTATTAAGCAATATTCAAGGGTGGTTTGTGTGAAGTTTGGTGCAGATCCGTGAAAAGGGCGCCGCCCCAGTGCAAGGCCACACTAAAAAAACAGGCCGTAATGCTCGTCAAGCATGACGTCACGACAGAAGACGGCAATGACGTAATGTTTAATATTTTTGTGACAAAGGGTATTTGTTTATTTATTTTCCAAGGAAAGATTAAAACAAGCAGCTGATCACAAACGGTAAACTACGTCATTGCCGTCTTCTATCGTGACGTCATGCTTCACGAGCATTACGGCCTGTTTTTTTAGTGTGGCCTTGCCCAGTGGCTCTGGAGTTTCCCATGTTTACCTTATGAGTACTCATATTTAAATGGAATTAAAAAATCTTAACAGATGTGTAAACCAAACAATTTGATTCTGTGATGATCAATAGCATCAAAAGGTTACAAAATGTACCAACAGGGTGCAGCACTATTAATTGTCTACATTTATGACAACAGTTGCTAATTTCAACCAAGCAGCTGTGATACAAAATTAACCGTCAAAGTAGGATTGTTTACAGTTATATATGTTTATGTTTTTAATTTAATAAATAATTTTTGATAGTGTGTGAATAAGGAGTTTTATTTTTAAGTGCGTAAATCATTACTTCATTAACATCATTGACTTTCTTTTTCCAAAATGTATATAAAAACCTATTGAATTTTTATGGTTTATTTCCCAAAAAATTACTTATGGGAAATAAAAGTAACCAGTTAATATTTTAAGTTAATACTTTTAGTGGATTACTAAAAGTTTATCTACATACAGCAGATCTATGGAATAATAATATTCTCTTAAGCGTTCTCTTCCCGTTGCAAAGCACGGGTATGGTGGCTAGTTAACATATAAATAAGAGGTTAATTTACCTTAGTACCGTCTTGTGACTCATATACCTCCTCTAAGGGCTGATGACAATCGTTATGGCGACTATGTCACCTTCTTCACATTCTAGTCAAGAACATCGAACTCATGATGTATGTAAACCTGTGGCCACAGTAGTAGTGAAATAATTAATTTTATGTTTTGTATATATGTTTGTGTGTGCGTATTTAATGTTTCGACGACCTCATCATGAGTGAAGTTTGGTGTTCTTGAGTAGGATCTGAAGAAGGCGACATAGTCGCGGAAACGATCGTCACCCGTCCTTAGAGGAGGTATACAAGAGTCACAAAACACGATACTAAGGTAAATTTATCTCTTATTTCATAAATAACCTCTGGTGGTTGAAAGATTATTAAATACAAGTTTCAGCAGTAAATTACGATTGAAAAATGTGTTTATTTAAAATTGTAGATGCTTGTTTGAATCATAACCATTCAAATTCACAATGTAATTGGTATAAATTACCAGAATATATTTTTGGGGGTATTTAATTTTTATTCAACCACATTTTATATGAGCAAAGGCATGTATGAAACATTATAAACACGTTATACAAACTAGACTCACAAGTGGAAATGCCGATTGAATGATGTAGACTCCATTTTCAACATCCCCATACCTGTAGATGGTTTGGTACGGAGGTTCTACTTTTGCTTCCTTGTACTCTTTTAAAACTCTGACATATTGTTTTAACTAAAACAGCATCATAATATACTGTAAATACTAACAGAAACATTTAGAGTAAATAATAGTTAAAAATGTTATAAACGTATAGAGAAAAGAGAGTTTAAATTTAAATTAAATTAAGGTCTCATAAGAGTGCAGATATTTTTGAATACACAATCATTTTTTATACCAAGAAAGGTTTGAAATTAAGTTTCCAGGTGATATTCTAGTACCTAATAAATAAACTACTTAAAGAATCTTCGAAAACTTATGGAAACCAGATGTATAAAAAACCAAATAAAAACTTAGACGTAGAATTCTCTATGAGATTGCGAAAACACCATGTTAAACCTTATAGGTGTTATTTACGGTTAATTCCCCAAAACACTAAACATCTTGATAACTATGCAGCAATGCATATCCGCTGATCGATGATGAAGTAAAAACACAGGGATACCAACAATAAGTCAAACAGTTCTTAATTTAGGTTGAATAAAAAGACACCCGGTAAAACTTAATCTATAATAATTAATGATAAATACAAAAATGCATTAATTTATCAAAACTGTTCACTTTTACTAATATGTGTGTGAGCTGTATAAGTTACATTGAATTGATGTAGCTTATAGGGCGTAGAACTGTTCCTATTCAAGAATAAACCGTTGTATTAGACACTCAAATAGCATTAATTACTCACAGGAAAATATTTTGGAAAATTCCTTTCAAACACTTCTTGTAATGTAGGTATCTCATCTAGACTAACAACCTTGAAAACATCAGAAGCCAAGGAACTGTTGTTGAACATCCTGAAAAGTGATTACCATACATTGTTAAATCTTTTTAATTACAGGGATTACAGGTCATACAAATCTGTCTGCAAGATAGAATCCTTATATATAATACGGGAAGGCAATTTCTACGAAACACTACTTCTCCGTTAATAATGGACGGATTTTTACAAACTATGTGTCAAGATTTTGTATTTTTTTTTGTAGACGCCCCCTTTCACAAATTCCTGTAATAAAAGTCCTCGGGCTTTGCCCCACAGGCCATCAAAATCCCAATTTATTTCTTATGAAGAAAATATTTTGTTTACTTAAACAGACCTATAATTTGTATTAATTACAGCTGTTCATAGTAAACACATGATACATATAAGAGCGTTCGTTTTCAGATTGAGTTCGTTTTCAGTTTCGATAACTGAAATCGAGTGATTGATTACATTATCTTTGAGTTGACTCTTTTAAGTCATCGGAAATTATGACTGTTATCCGTTTTGAAATAACACCTGTAATACTTTGCAATTGCTCAAATTCAAGCAACAGGTGCACTAGTATACATTTAATACTAGTGTATCTGATTACCATTACCATGCTTTATTGTAAGATCTTCTGGTAGCAGATTATTTTCAAGAGGTAGGCAGCCTCTTTTACCTTGCATTTGTCCATCCACATGGGCCACAGAGGCCTATGCGTTGAACGTATCTAAACAAGGAATGAAAGCAAAGAACTGTTAGTGGAGATAGAATGTAGTGGCAGGTTCCAGGATCCGAACCCACGACATCGCTGCCTAGGGCCCGAAGTTGGTGGTGCCTCCGACTGAGGCACTGACCTACCAGTTATAAAGCTTGTGAATAGTGTAGGATCTTTGCATTATGTCCCGAAAGGCTATGTCAGCCTGATGGAGGTTCATCTTTAGAGCAAAAAATTGTGTGCATCAATGAAACTGAAAAGTGTACGGATATCTGAGCTGATAGTCAGACAACTTTAAAGGTTCTAAATTAAATTCAATCAAGAGTTTATTTAAAAGCTCGCCTGTTGTTGTCTTGCATCCATCACAATTTGGAAAAAGGAATAATTTGATACCCGAGTTGCCGCACCACTATGGGTTTTAAGGGAATGTGGAGACAGATTGGGTTACATTGCCAAAACCAAGATCTTTGGTCAACCATTTTGTTGAATTTGATATAAGTTTGCTTGCTGCTTGATCATGTTATTGGGTTTCCTTGCAAATATATGTAGTTGAAGTGATCAAGCCTCCGTCAGAGTGCACTGATGTAGTCTAAATTACTGATTTCCATTGAATATTCTGAATTTTTAATAAATTCAAACTGATTGTAAGATATATCGTATTTTATGTCACGTCAACTATCACAGAAACACTAAGGTCGAGATTTACACACTTGCACAATCCATAACTGGCTCACAGAACTATGCTCTTTGTTAATAAGAAAATTAGCGATCGCTGGTACATATAGATGGGATGTCTACTTCGTATACAAAAGTCTACGGAGGAAACATACAATCAAACCAGGTCACAGATATAACACCCTGAACAAAAAAAAAAGAAGAAGCTAGAGCTTGCACAGAAACAAAAAGAACTGTATAGGTGAAGGTGAGTAAGTATCCTATGCAAAATCCAACGTTTTGGCTACGAGTAACAAAAAGTTCTCACCTTGAACTCCTGAGATTTAACCTACTCGTGAGAATGTTGGTAGTCCAGTTTGGTCGATTTATTTCTTTTCTGTGAGGGAGGACTCTTGCCAGTTGGACTTGACTTGTCCATGAAGAATAGTAAGCTGCCCAGGGATGAGACTTTTTTAAGTTCTGTAAAAAACCAAACTTAGTATAACTGTAATACTTTTAATACTTTTCAATGAAATGACGCCCATACAAAGTAGGTATTTTAAGCCAAGTATGAATGGAGATATAAGGAAATATAACAAATTATGTTTATGTCCAAGTCCATAATGTGGTTTCACATTATGTTTATGGATTTCATTTAGTGCATCAAATCCATGAACTAAAGTTATATATGATAAGATTAAGGAGCTATACAAATATCATGAATAAAATTTAATTTAATCTTTCTCTCAGCTTTTGGAAATTGAACATATTACAGGAGTTCAGATGGATTTAGTAGCAAGATAGTGTTTTAGAGCTTAAATAATCACAAAAAATATATCTTTCCAAAGGAAATGCTTAGGCTATTCATAATATTTTAAAATTAAAAATAACTTATAAGTCTTATAAAGTACTAGTACAATATTTATAAAGTCTTAAAAATAATTAACCAAGAATATGGTTGCTAAATATGGACAATGATGGCAAAATATGCAGTTTTAATCGTAATACTGTGTGATTGAAAAGTCCCAGAACGGTGTAATATATTTTTTACTATTACCGGTACAGATAAAGTGAGATTTGGTTGATCAGTAATAGCCATAGATGTATATCCTTTTAAGCTATTATAATTTTTTATCCTTTTGAGGGGGACAGCCCATGAGGAGTCAAACAAAATTCTTAAATAACAGCATCTAGGTCAAGTTTGGTATAAAATATTGGACGCTCAGTAATTCAGGCCTATAACAACATTCTATTTTAGTAATCTTCCTTCAAAGTTCACTCGAAATGCTGCAGATAGCACGACTGGACAGTACTGATTGGGACTACACTCTATTGGGAGAATTGGGAAATATTTAAAAACATAGAGAAGAAATTCTTGTTGATATACCAAGTATCATTACTTGATCTATAATGGTAAACATTATACAGTACTATATCACCCCTGTGACTTTTCAATCACACTGTATATTTACTATCACTAGATGAAGTATGCAACAACGTAAGAAAGCAAAAAATATTACGAGTAAATAAAATTCTCTAATGCTTAAAACAATAACAGTTTAAAGTTCACCAAGCAGACCCCTTGCAAAATTGAGAGAGCAGTACCACAGGTAAAAGGTTAAAATCTCAAAAACCTTTACATTTACAGAGGGTAAATTATACATAATCTTAAATTATTTGCTAAAAAATATGTAGATTTAGGTCAAAATGAGGTTCCTCTTACAGAATTTTTTAAGACATAATTATCAAAATGAGAATTATTCTGCGCATAAAATGCATTTTGCTTGATTTTACTTACTAAGCTAATCCAAATTTGAAAAAATGGAAAATCTTCAATTCTTCTTAGTTTAAAATACCAAAAATAATATCTTTATGTTCAATCATGCTCCCTTTTAAAACCCCAAAATACAACTTTTAAGAAATGTGGAAATCAGGTAAAATAAACCTGCTTCCCGCCCTATAACAAACTTATAATTGGCATATATTTGTTTACTAGCAGAGGACCCGTCCTTCGCCCGGAGTTGATGTATGTTTAAATGGTGCTTTTTGAAATCTGACATGAAAAAAGAGTAAAATAAGATTAAATTCCAATAAATGTACCTATCAAAAACTTGTAACTTACTAATTACATAAAAAACATTTTAAACGATAAAACAAATAAAAAACTCAAAGCTTTTACTTACTTTTAAATGATAAAATCAAACATAGACAAACAAAAATTTACAACATCTGGTTAATACATGGTTTGAATTAAATGAAACATGTAATCTTGTTTCTAAAAAGCATTGCTCACGAAGCATTGTTTATAAAAATATCTCATTATATACTACTAGCTGTTGTACCGGGAAGAGGACACAAAATAGAAAGATTTTAATCTTTACATCTGTTGCATATAATAGTTACACATCCCAACGCTTTTTAAACAAAATTCAACTTTTATGGCCTTAATATAAACGTTTAAGTTATGGCTTTAAAATCTGGTAAGTAGTGGATACCACCATTTTGGTTTTGATTAATTTTAAATATTGTGTAGGCTGATATGAGAAAAGCTGACCAAATCTTCGAGTAAAACTTTGACATACATGATTTACCTTCATCTCTCTTAATAACATATCTTAATTTCACTCTTCTTTATATTAAATCACAAATCCTTCCATCTTCAGTTTTTTCACTCACAATAAATCATAGGCAAAACTAAGTCAGCTAGTATAAACTTTAGAAATATTGCTGAGCCTTATCAATACAGTCTTTTGATATATTAAAGAAACTATATCTATAGGTATTATAAAAAATGTTAAACAAATAATTTAGCATTAAAGACAGCAGACAAAACTAATATGATTATCAAAGCATCAAGGACTAAAAAAATGTAATAGCAAATACAGTTTCATTGCATCTCTGATTCTACTCTACAAAAATATCAACAAACAACTTAATATACAAACCAGTTCTTTTAATCAGTTCCATTGTCCATTGCCTTTACATTTTCACACTTACCATTAAGTAAACACAGTAACATATATTTCATTGATTCAAGAACAAGATTCAAGAACACTGAGTACTGCTTAGTTTTATGATATTTTCCTAGGTTTAATTTATTCAGTGGTGTGGCAAAACACAAATAATACATGTATCAAATAAAGTAAATGTGAACTGAAAGCAATGTTAAGATAAAATCAGAGTATTTTGTATTAACATTTGATAATTAAATATAGTTACACATATACAACAGATTTTAGAAAACAAAAATCAACAATTTAGTTATTGATGATATTCTTCAGTTTAATTTAATCATAGGTTTAGCAAAACACAATAACTTAATTTACCTAAATATACATATAAAAACAATGCGATGTGCAAGTTATGTTAAGTTAATCTACACATGTTAAGCAGTTAGAATTTATTTAAAGTAGCCTCCAAATTCATACAAAACATCTATACATAGTAATTTTCATACTGTTTCCATGAAAACATATCAATAACATTATTTTCATAACTTAGACGCTTTAAAAAATCCAAAGCAAAGCCGGAGTTGATACAGCAACGGTTATAGAATCTTTTTTTTCTATAATCATTGACATAGTTTTAGAATAAATAATCCATGATAAAAGGTTACATTAAAATAAACCTACCTCATAGTTATGGAAAATATTATATTTAATTTCTTTGTATCAGCTGTCTGAAATAGTGAAACATGCAGTTTAGCAGTTCGTCTTGTTTGCATTTAAATGTCAAAGCAAATGTAAACAAACATTGTTAGTGTTCTCATCCCACCCATGGAGACCAATCAATATTTACTTTTAAAATATTCACCTCAGAACTTTTGAAGCCAAAGGGGCAAAGCCTGCGGTTAGTATCGAAATGTGAATAGTCCTATAATGGTCCTTGGTATGGTAGCTATATTTTTGTAAAATTTAAGCCCAGTTGGTTCAGTAGCTTTTGCACCTATTAGTAACACACATACAGACAGACACCATTAGATTTTTATATAATAGTATGGATGTGAACAAACAAAAACACTAACACTCTTACTACATACTAAAACAAACAGAAACATACTTTACTATTTATAGCTCCTGCTATTCATGCACCAAAGGCAAGTGCATATACAACTTAGTTTTTTATTGTTGTCTTTAAATTGAAATATTTGTATATCAGCTTAGAATTAGGAAATTTAACATCATTCAAACAATGTTTATGTCAAGGGTCGGTTAAGGTAAGAGGAACTTGGTTGAAAATATACGTGTAATGACCATGGAACGCTTGTACAAATTTATTCATTATTAGAATAGAATGTGAAATCTACAGGAAGTGTCAAAAGTTATAATATACATAGCTAGTAGCTACCTCTGGATTAGAAAACATCATAACTAAACTATGGGTAGTAATATGAAATTATGATTTAAAAATGTGTGAAAAGGCAAATGGTGCGAACAATATTTCTTTCAAAATGGCAAAAATATACATCTAATTATCTCCTTGAGAAAAAATTTTCAATTTTTAAGGTGTGTGTGCCCTACTCTAAATACATTTTAATTGTTCAAAAATGTTAAAATGATTCAAGTAAATGTGACTTTATAATTTCACTATTTTTTACACAAAAATCTTTCAATACAATCATTCACATTAGCGAATTTTAAAATAATTAATTAGGGTTAGATACAGCAACAGATATACAATCTCACTTATTTCATTAAATCAATAATCAATGAACCATCAAATATAAGAATAAATAAACATGTCACATGATTGTACAGAATATAAAAAAAACCAGCTTTTATGGATAAACCAGCTGTGGAATTGTGAATTAATGTGGTTTGACAGTTCAGCTTGTGTTGAATATTTATTTGGGTGGCATAGCAAATTGCAAAAATTGTATGTGTTCTCATAGCAGCCATGGAGACCAATCAATATTTACTTTTAAAATTCTCAACTCAGAACTTTTAAAGCCAAAGGGGCAAAGCCCACCGAAAGTGAATAGTCCTATAATGGTCCTTGGTATGGTAGCTATATTTTTGTAAAATTTAAGCCCAGTCAGTTCAGTAGTTTATGTGCCTATTAGTAACAAACATACAGACCGACACCACTAAATTTTTATGTAATAGTATAGATATAGAAGATAATAAGAACATACCCTACAATCCAGCAAAAAGTAGTAGAAGAGTAAATCATCAAAACATGCCTAACCTCACTAATGATACAAACTTCATTGTTTTAAAAAAATGGCTGAATTGGATTTTAAATACTATGCATACAAAATTTACTGAAAAACCCATGGTTTTAATTTAATAAACAAGCAAAGAAAATTATGCAAACATTTCAACCTATAAGTTACAACTCATGTTAACTAGGAAGTTTTCAATAAACAAATTTGTAGAGTAGTAATTCTGTATAACGTATTATAACATTGTAGTAAACGCGTAAAAACCTACCCTTACATCCAAATATCTAGATGGAAAATATACCTGACACGTTCTCGGGGCCAACCACATGATTTATGTGGCAACTGTCAACCAACACCTTTATAAATTGTTCAATGGAAAACAAGACAATTGTATAATAAGGGAAAAGTGAGGCAGTTGACTAATTGTGTGGCATTATTTTAATGACTCATAACAAGGCCCCACTAGAAAAAACAGACCATGCTGCAGGATCCATGACGTCACACTGACACTAGTGGATAGATTTCATTGATAAATTCATTGCAATCCCATTCCCATATATTTTAGGTAAATAAACAAACATCATGTTTGATTCATTAATTGAAATAACAAATAAAATATCAAACACCTGTTTGTAAAAAAATACATAACTCTATGGAGTGATAAGACCAGGCTGCTAGAAGTGAAAGTCATCTACTAGTCATCAAGTCATCATCACATCCCGACTTCCGACTTCGGACTCGGAGGTTAGGTTTGATAAGGATCATGGCCATGCATCTAAGTTGTTTTAATCTATGTCTTTGTAAATATTTATATGTGTTCAATTTTTGTACAAATTATACTAAATCGACAATATCTCAAGTAAAAAAAGAGATGGCAAACAAGAAGTTTAGCAAGCCTATGAGACAAAGGACTGACGATAACGTTTCGACGTAGAAACCTAGGCCTCCACTATAATAAAAAATTGGGTCGTAAGGTAAGCCTTAGATTTAATTATGTTCAATAACGGGGTACAATTTCTTAACTGGGTTATGCTAATATTGATTGAAACTATCGATTCGATTAGGTAACCTTCATGCGATTTTTTCACCATCATCAAGTTTGGTTGGTTAGGTTAGGTTATGATAGTTTTATTTTATAAGTACCTGGGGACCAAGCTTTGCTCGGGGAAAATCATTCCCCACTCTGCGATGCCAGCCTTTACTATTTCCTTCACCATTTCCTACGCCATGGACATGTTTCCATCCCTTCTCATAGCATTTCAGTATTTCAATTGCAGATACATACTTAAATCTAACTGTTACAATTGGTTTCCAGTTCCCAGACTCCACACTGCTCGCCTTTACTACTTCCTTCACCTCTTCCTACGTCGCGGACCTGTTTCCCTCCCTTCCCATAGCATTTTAAGATTGTAGATACCTTAATCTAATCGTCATTAACAGTTCCCACACTCCGGACTGCTCGCCTTTACTACTTCCTTCACCACTTCCTATGTCGCGGACCAGGTTTCCCTCCCATTCCATAGCATTTTAGGATTGCAGGTACGTTAATCAAATCGTTATAAACAGTTCCCACCACAGACAATATAATTGGTTTCCATTGTCTGTGGTTCCCACACTCTGGACTGCTCACCTTGACTACTTCCTTCACCACTTCCTACGTCTCGGACCTGTTTTCCTCCCTTCCCATAGCATTTTAAGATTGTAGATAGGTACCTTAATCTAATCGTCATTAACAGTTCCCACACTCCGGACTGCTCGCCTTTACTACTTCCTTCACCACTTCCTACGTCGCGGACCTGTTTCGCTCCCTTCCCATAGCATTTTAGGATTGTAGATACCTTAATCCAATCGTCATAAACAGTTCCCACACTCCGGACCGCTCACCTTTACTACTTCCTTCACCACTTCCTATGTCGCGGACCAGGTTTCCCTCCCATCCCATAGCATTTTAGGATTGCAGGTACGTTAATCAAATCGTTATAAACAGTTACCACACTCCGGACTACTCGCCTTTACTACTTCCTTCACCACTTCCTACGTCACGGACCTGTTTCCCTCCCTTTCCATAGCATTTTAGGATTGCAGATACCTTAATCTAATCGTCATAAACAGTTACCACACTCTGGACTACTCGCCTTTACTACTTCCTTCACCACTTCCTACGTCGCGGACCTCTGTTTCCCTTCTTTCCCATAGCATTTTAGGATTGCAGATACCTTACCATCCTTATGGAACAGCTGTTACAATTTGTTTCTATTATTTTAGGGTTATTTTCTTATTATTTGTGTCTCACTGTTTGCTTATATAGCCAACGATAGTAATATAGTAATATAGTGAACGAGTTATCGTTTTTGATTAAATAGTATTAAGTTATTTGGTAAAACGAGGTTTTAAATTACTGAAATAACAAGAAACAAATTGTAAACAAAGCACGTCATCTACAGAAAACCTGACAGAACTAACAATAAAATTGGCTCCAGCTGTTCCATAAGGATGGGAAATGTACCTTAATGTAATCGACAATCGTCATAACAGATCCCACACTCCACACTGCTAACTTAGCCTTTACTACAATGTATCGAGTAAGTTTCAGTATAATCATTGGTCAATAGTAACAAGTGATGTTTTTGCTTTTGTACTGTATTTTGTTATTTCTAGTATACTGTGGGTAGATGCCTTTATGAACACACGTGTTACAACTTACAAGTCTTTTGTTTACGTTTTCCTTGTTATTTAATTCAACCAACATGGTTACTTAGCAACCCATAAGACTAATGTTAAAAATATGTGACTTTCAGTTTTATTTTTCTACGTAAATAGATTTTTGTTGGCAGTTCTAACTGCAGTAAACTTGTTTTTAGGCCAGGAATAAACTATTTACAACATTTGAAGAAAATCGTCGGAGCTGTTTTTGAGATCTTTGTGCAAGCAAGCATACAAGCAAACATTGCTCATATTAGAATTAGAAGATAGATATATTTTAAAATATCGATTATTAATCAATATTTTCAATTTGTTAGTTTCAATCAATATTAGCATAGCCCAGTTAAGAAACTGTAGGCCTACCCCAATAACGATCTAGAGGCTATATCTCCAATTAAATAAACAAGCTGGCGGTTTGTAAGAGTTTAGTACAACTATCCACCACTGTGACGTAGTGTTGCGCTGCCGGTGCTGCAGCAAGGCCTGTTTTTCTAGTAGGACCTTGCTCATAAAGACAGCAACCAATTTCAAAGTTTGACTGGATTGTTGTAACAAAAATCGTTTGTTGTTAAATCTAAACACCAGTTAAAGCGGGTAGACTTCCGTATCTGTTGGCACAAACAACCGAATGAAAATATAGATCGATATATCGATTATTCGATATATTGTTTGGTTAGTTAGGTAAGGTTAACCTAACCTAACTAACCAAACGATATATTGAATGAAACAATCGAATAATTGATATTTTCATTCGGTTGTTTGTGCCAACAGATATGGAAGTCTACCCGTTTAAGCCAATTATCTCAATAAGGGGGTGGGCGTTATCAGTGGCAGAAGTTTTTCACAATATATGTATTTTGGGCACAAATTGTATATACTTTTTCACCACACTATGATATTTTTAGCTGTTTTACATACGTTAATTGGTGGCTAAAAGTAAAGTATTGCTGGCCCTGCCAGCTGTCATCGTCATTTGGGGACGGAGCAGGTTTTTACATCCCTAGAGCCGCAAAATCAGCTGCTCGCTTACTTTCTTAAACACATGAATGCATATTAAATACACAATCAGTATCCATAGCATTACAATAGAATTGTATTATTGTCACCATTGCCTAGCAACTATATATTTTTTCGTTGATTCCTCAAATTATTTCTTGGTAATTATTCTGTATAGGTGCCTCCAAACGAATTTTTAATTTTGATATCTTACTTTATAGTTTTTTACCTCCTGAATCCAAATATACCATTATTTTTCACAGCTAATGAATATTTCTCAAGATATCTCCGTAATAATATACAACATTACAATAAACAAGGTAGGATGGATGACATTTACAAGTGGAATGAACTATGGGTTAAGTTAGGTCAAAGCACTGGTGAAAAGGCCGTTGGCCGAGCTTGAAGAGCCACTCTTTCCATCCTGATTCTGACATACGGTAACTGGACCTAATTATTCAAAACCGCCATGCCACAATTTTTTCTGTAGTATAGTGTTTGTAAATATTAGTTTTTGTATAAATTGTATATATAAATAAATTGACGCAATCTATCCGATAATGTCGATCAAAGATGAAGACATCAAGTATTCAAGTATTCAAGTAAGTAAGCCAACAGCTGATTGTTTTCAATCATAGTCATCAAGCAAATGGAAGTGACAACTTTATTAGCTAACTCTGATTCTGCAATATGAAAATCACCTGATTAAGTTAATCTTTTCACTTTCTAACACCAATAAGTTAACACATTTAATAAAATGTAGCCTATTATTGTTACCAGTATTTTATTTTTATTTATTTTATTATTTTATTTTTATTACCTATATTTCGCCGTTTATAAATTACATAATAAAATGGTGCTGTTCTAACATAACCTAACCAAACCTCTAAAATGTAAGCAAACTCCTTTTGATGTCAGAAAAGGCATGTCAGGGTGGTAGGTCATGCTTTATGTGAATTGGTGACTGCATTAAGTCCTTTGAAGGTAGGTTAGATTAGGTAAGTCACAGTTTAGGTTATAATGTATCAAGTTGTTAGTTTATGTTGCCTGCAAAGCATTTTGGAAAAAGTAATTTGAAGTGTTTTTCTCAGGATTTTAATTTTACAAAAGCAGTCTGCAGGCGACATAAACTAACAACTCAATACATTATAACCTAAACTTTACCTTCCTAATCTAACCTAACTTCAAAACACTTAATGCAGTCACCAATTAACATACAGCACGACCTACCACCCTGACATGCCTAAATAAGAACTACATGTAATTAGTCCACCAGTCCATCTATATCTCCATAATGTGACAAAATTCCTACTATAGAAAACATTATTGACTACAGAATCACTTGAAATGTTTCTACAACGATGTTATCATGTTTAATCAACGATGTTATTCTTCTCATCAACCATGTTACTCTCTTCACTTAACTTGAACTGGTGACGGCGTAGCAGACTAGCACTACGCAGCAATTTTTGTTTTGAATTCTAGTTGTAGTGAAGTAAAATGGGTTGAAAACAGTCAGCTCTATGCTTAGTTAACCCACAATTCATTCCACTTGTAAATGTTATCCATCCCATCTTGTTTATTGTAATGTTGTATACTTTTACGGCGATATCTTGAGAAATATTCATCAGCGGTGAAAAATAATGGTATATTTGGTTTCAGGAGGTAAAAAACTATAAAGTAAGATATC